CGTATAGTTATAGAGCTTGACGACACCTAACTTCTGAGAAAGCTGTACGGTTGGACGCTTTTGATTCGAGGAATAATATCGAGAACTTGAAAACATTGTAAAAGCGAAGTTTTATAAAAGCTAGTTACAATGCTAACGCTTTAGGCACAAAGAAAGCTAATGTGAGCACTATTAGATGTACACGATTCAAGACTAGGCTTGGAGACGCTGAAGTCATAATATTCGATCATATTACGCATCACTGTTATAATATTCCTTTTCTGATAAATGGCTTCTCAGAACGTTGAAACCTGATGAAAATATTACTTCCTATGTAACATTCGGTGCGTCACGAGTTACTGTACAAAACGATATAGATAGCTTTTCAAATGAAGGTGCACTGTAAAAAAACAATCATAGAATAATAATTCTTTAATATTCATTTATTACAATTACATGAACTCTTGTTAAGTTTCTGAGCGTAATCTACTCTTTTTCGGTATACGAACGGAACAAATCATCACCCAATGGCTCTATTTTTTCCATGATGGGGATTAAAACATTCAAACTAGAAAATTTTTCATTTATAAATTTATGAACAGGAAGTGTAGATTACGCTCATAAGCCTAAGAAGGGTTTATATCGTGGTAATAAGCCAATAGTAAGGGTTTATTATTCTCAACTTTTTTTTTATACAATGTGGTATCTTATTCAACATGGTCCTTTGTATTGGAAAGATATTAATTTTCTTGAATTTTTTCATAGCTTTATAAGTGATAGCACAGTTGCAGTATTTTGTGGTTTACTTCCATTAATTTTACCGAATTCAAATCCTTTTCAAAGTTTGTTTAATAAATCAAACTCTACATAATTCATTTCTTGTATATAAGGTAATTGGAAATACGAACCAATTGTTCAATGGAATACTTTAGTAAAAAATATATCATGGAGTGCTATATTTTTACTTGGTGCTGGTCTTTCTGTGGCATCAGCTTTCACTGTGTGTATTTTTTATTATAAAAAATTTTAACTGAATAATGTTTTCTATTGATAAATTAGAATTCGAAATTATCAGAGAGTGTTGCACAAGCACTTCGATTTTTACATCGTGTACCACATACTGCAGTTATTATGTTAGTTATTGTTATTAGTGGTCTTTTTACGGAAGTAACATCAAATTTAAGTACAGCAAGTATTTTTTTGCCTGTACTTGATTCTGTGGTATGATTAAGTGTTTCATTTGAATAAAAAATTGGATTTTTTCTCATTATATATAGTCACGTTCATCTTTTATTCATCCGGCTTATCTTATTCTTCCATGTACTTTAGCTGTATCTCTTGCTTTTATGTTACCTATTGGTAAGTAACAAACACAAAAATATATTAACGAATTTATTGAATTATTCTTTAAAGCCACACCGCCGAATGCAATTATTTTTGGTTCTGGTGCTATCCGAGTAATTGACATGGTAACATTATTATTCGATTCGAACAAAAACAAAGAAAATAATACGCCTATTTCAATTGTATTTTTTTAGGTCAAAACTGGTGTTGTAATGAATATTATTGGTTTCCTCGTTGTATTTCTTGCTGCAACAACTTGGATGCCGAAAATTTTTGGCCTTAATGATGGAACAATAGAGTTTTTTTTCAATATGAGTACAAGCACAGTTCCAAGGCAGTTATGAAACAAATAGCTAAAATTGTACATGATACATATATTCTTTTACTTTATCGTAATACAAAAAAAAAACTTTTTTTTTTGGACAAACAGAAGGAAAAAAGATATTAGTAAATAAGAAAGTCTATTTATTACCACCGGCATGACGCATTCGACGATAGAATGCATTACGCTTATGTTTAGCAAGTTGATGTTTTTTAGCATGTGAAAAATGTTTTTTTCGCATATTTAAACGTTGAAAATTTGCATTAGGATCTTTTATTCTAGGTTTTTTTGTACATGGTTGTTTGCTTATTGATGATGATGCAATTGTATCATTGCTAGTTGTTGGAAGAGCAGGAATATCATCGAGTGAATTCGTCGTTGATATTGATCGTTTTCGTTTTTTTGATACACGATTCTACAAGTATTCGGATGTGAAAATTTAATAAAATTGATTTGAAGTAGTATTAAAATTCGTAAAAAGTTGTAGATTGGCTTAGATGTTTTGGTAATGCTTATAAAAAAAAGCTCAAGCTCCTGTTTAAGTTGAACTCAATGAATTACAGGGAAATACTAAAAGCCTTCTAGGGAAGGAAGCTGAGCCTCCGTCATTTTACACCAATAATCCCAAATCAAAAGAATTGGTTAATTAAAAACTATGATATTAGTTTTTTTTTTTATTCTTGTAATAAATCTTCTTTTTTTATTTCATATTTTACCTCTTGTTCTATTTCTTCCTCTTCTTGTTCTTTTTCATCATCATCTTCTGGCGTATTTGGACCAATAATTGTATCGTCTTTTTCTTCATCATCACTATGTAAATTTAATTGTTGTTGTCTAGCAAATGTTAAAAACTGAAATTGAACAAGTTTTGATTGACTACTAACAGGTACATATTGAAAATCATCTTTATTATCTTGTGGTATATCGTCTCCTTCATCATCATTATCACTAGGATCATATGAAAAAGAAATATGTGTTGGTAAACTAGATGTTGATGTTGTTGGTATTATATTTGGTTTAGATGATGTAGAATTTTGATGTTCTTCATTTGATGCTAATCGTTCCCATACTTGACTACATGTAACTGTGGTATGAATAGGTGATGGAGTTGTTGGACTAATTGTTTTAGAATAAAGTTCTGTATGTGTATGAGTAGTTGCTAAAAAAATTAAAACAAAATTTATTATAGAAATAGAATTAAAAATCAAAAAGATCACACGTGTTGATGGAGGTTGAGAATTAGTTGTTATTATTGTTGTTTTATTAATATTATTTGTTGTTGAAATATTATCTTCATTTTCAAAATCATTACTAAATACTTGACTACGTGATAAATTAATACGTCGTTTAAGATTTGTTCGATTACGTTCACGTAGTGGTCTTAATGATGATGATGACGATGATAAAAATAGTGGTAAGGATAATGGATGAGATTCTTCCGTAGATACTGAAGGAGAAGGACGAATTGAGTCAGCATTCATTGAATATTATCTCTAAAGAAATATGAATGAATTATCCTTAGTCGTTCTTCTTTAAAAATAAAGAAAGAACGCTAAAAAATTCGTCTTGATTGATATCTAGCGACACATGAGCTTTTTTATTGGTTATTATCTAGGGACAATTGATCGATCGAATTTATGCTCTGGTTGGTGATTTGTAAATGAATTACGATTAGTTAATTGTCCAAGTCTTTATAGGAAATGATTTTTTAATTAATTAATTAATTAATTAATTAATTAGTTAATTGTGAGGTGACCCAGGTCGATCGTTCCGGCCACCGGATATTGCAGGAACCGGCAGGAAAATGCGGGAAAAATCACCGTATCCTGCAGGAAAACACCGGAAATAGCCGGAACATGGAAGCAGTAGTCCGGCCGGAAATTCTCCGGATTTTTTCCGGTGAATTCCGGCCAATTTCCTGTGTTTTCCGGCAGGAACCGAGCGGAAAATCAGCGGAAAAAATTCCGAAAATTTCCGGCCGGAATACTGCTTCCATGTTCCGGCTATTTCCGGTGTTTTCCTGCGGGAACCGGCCGGTACTTTTCGACCTGGGGACGAGAGAACAGCAAAAGAAATTTTTGGCATTGGATGGAAAGCGAAAAACGAGGAGAACCAGTGTTTCCAAAAGAATTAACGTAAACTGGTACGATATCTTTAGTTTTTAATCTTTCAAATAATTAAAATTTTAATATTCATTTCATTTTTTACAAATCTATTCATCAATTTGTATCATGATTGAAAGAATGATATATAATGTACCGTAAAAGAATTTACATATTATTTGATGTTCTCTTTCTGTTACATTATAGATGCTGTCGAAAAGAAAGTATTATTCAGTCGTAGTAAGAAACGATTTGTATCTGCTTCTTTTACGGCTCTCTAATTTTATAATTATTAATTCGAACGTTTCAATGTTCGTAAACGTCTTGAAAAAAAAAAGAATTAACACAAACAATAAAGAAAAATACAAGTATGTATTAGTCTATTTCTATATAAATTTTCTATTTCTTTTTGAAAACGTTAAAGTAACTAAAAAAAAGCCAATTCCATGTTGGATCTATCTATGATAATGAACTGCTTAACAGTTGCATAGACGAAGATCAACATTGTTAAAAACATCCTTTTCTTTATTGAATAATTTTTTTTAAATAAAATTAGCTGGATATTGAAAAAAATCTAAAAAATTACATGCAAAACAACGTCAAACAAAAGAATGTTCTAAACAAACATTATTAACTAATATTGAACAACAAGGAAAAGTACAATTTTCGAGTGGACAAAAAATAACAAAAGTAGGTTTATTGCAAAAATAAGATGAAAATAAGAAAATGAGTTAGTGTTTTAGCTCCACAAGCTGATTTACAATTATTAATGCATCGTATTCATGCAGTTAAAAATATTTTAAATGATTTAAAAAAAACGAGAATCAAATAGGTAAGTTTATTTGCTTTAAAATAAACTATGATTAATCAATGAAAAATGTTTCAGTTCAAGAAAAGAATATATTGATTTACTTAAACAAGATTTATGAAATTATTATTCGTATAAGGAATTTTTAATGAATAAAAATTATCGATTCATTTTCATTTGTTGAAGTAAAAGAGAATAGAATTGAAATCATTTGAAAAAAGCGAAGTAGTTTTTAGTTAATCGAGTTTTGGAAGCAAATTAAGTTCAACGACTAGTTAGTATTCGAATGAATACATTAAAAACATGTCGTCGTGATCTTGTTTAAGCACCGATCAATCGCGGTGTTAATTTTGATCTACATGATAAATGGACTAAAGTTGATCTTGTTATTTATAAAAGTTAAGTACTTATCGATGCAACACCTGAGTATCTTAGTGAACATTTTATGTTACGAAGTGCATCAAGGCTTTTACCTGTTATAGCATTAGCTTCTCAACCGATTGAAAAAATTTTAGATATGTGTACAGCTCTTGATGGAAAAGCGTCTTAAATTGGTGAATAGATTTTTTTGTTTTTATTAAAAGGAGTTTTCTATTTCGAAGAATTTAATTTTAGGTGCATTAATACGCAATAGTGGTATATTAGTAGCAAATGACGCTAATAAAGATCGTGCGAAAGCAATTATTGCTCATATATATATATATATTAGGTTTACCAAATACAATTGTAATAAATCTTGATGAACGAGATTTTTTTAAAGTAAATAGTTTTATAGAAGAAATTTATAATGTCATATCTAGAAGAAAATCTTTGTTTTTGTACGATTGGTGTTATCGAGTATCTACACTATAACTTTCGTTCGGATCGAACGATTTTAAAGCGGTTACTTTAGTTCTAGTCTTTTGATAATCTTTTACGTTCACAGCTAATTTCATGTTTCTATCTTGTATCTTTCTTAAGTTACAGGTTTGACAGTTAGAAAAAATGGCATTTTTAAGTAAGACGTATGTAGATGAGACTCTTGTTCGAACCACGAAAGAAATAGAAAAGAAAATACAAGTAGGCCATTTTGGAGCTTGAATGTTACTATATCGAAACATATGATCCACTAGTCTATATATCTTTTCATTTGTATACCTCTGATCTCGATATTTGATAACAGACACTTCTTTTTGTGCACTGACACAAACCTACCGCTATTGCAGGTTAAGACAGATTTAAATAGAAAACCAATATATCAAATAATAGAGAAGTTTTTGATATAAAAATATTTACTTTTTCTTAATTCTATATTAGGAAAAAAGGAATCAGAGTACCCCAAGACTAGCATATTCACTCATTTTGTACATTAATATGTTGAAACTTGTATGGTCTATAATTCACAAACGGTTGTGCTAATGCCATTCAAACTTTCAGATTAAGGAGAGCTCAAAAAGTTATACTAACGATAATGATATCTATTCTCTAGTTTTTACTGTTTAAAATATTCTTTGTCTTCTATAGTTAAACTCAGAAGAATTTGACAAATAAATCTGAATGTATTATGCATTGTTCTCGGCTATTTACTTTTCATGCAGAGCTGCAAAAATAACTTAACTCTTTTCATTGAATAAAACCAATTTAGTCAGTACCCCACTTAATATCCAGTAAAGTGTTAGAAAACTTTTACTGTATAACATAGATACCATGTAATATCACATATGCTATTCAAAAATTGTTTACGTCTATTTTCATTTTTTATTACCATTCATATAAAATGGTTACAAATCACTCGTATATTTCATCTGTTGGAAGTTACTATATTTTTCATCGGTATAAATGATAAATAGAATCAGTTACAGTAAAACACATCATAAATAATTTTATTTATTGAATATGTTCTAAACGCTTTTTTTGTAATTGACATGATTGTTAATTTTATAGCAAAAACATTGTTTAATTATTTGTCTTTGTTTACAAATCATCAAGGCCAATAATGCTTTTTATGTAATAATATGTCATCACTTACAGTTTACTTTCACTAATGAGAAAGGAAAAAAAATGAAGCGATAATAGATTGACCAGCTGTTAATTAAATACAAATATTTCTTATATTATATAGACATACTATATTTCTATTATGACATTGTATATTGGTCAACGTATAACATGATGGATTATGCAAAATAATGTATGTGAACGCAGTGTCTTTTTTTTTTTACTAAAAGTGTAGTATTTATCTGTTTCTTTTTTTTTTGTTTAGCATATAGGCGATTTTGATTAATGTCTTGGCGATGCATCATGTAGTGGGGCACAGGTATTATAGGAAAACGTCTAGTAGTAAAATATTCTCCAGTAAGATATGATTATATTTATATGAAAATGAATTGATTATAAATTAGGATGAATAAACAATATTCATTAAATAATCAATCGGTGAAATTAGTTGAGACAGATTTAGAATTTGGCGTTAAAGGTTTTACCAAGTACGTGAAAAAAAAGGAAGAAAACACTTCGATTATTTTCATTTTAATATTTGATTGTTATTCTCTTAGTTTCAAAGGCAGAACATTTCATCTATTAATGAAATATTCTCGTCAATTTGATACATATCTACATAATTTAGATGGTTTCTTTGTTGCTAAATTAAAAACAAATATTCAACTAAACGAGACAATAAAAAAGGTTTCTGGAGAAAAAAGTATTATTTTCAAGAAAAAGAACGAATTCTTTCGAATTATTTAGATTCTGAAACAAAACAAACAATGGACAAATTAAAATTAAATGTGATTCCTCGATAGCAATTGACGAAGAATGACTCTTAGTTGTTGTTTTTTATTATTATTGCTGATTGTTGTTGTTTTTTATTATGATTAATTTTTCAACATAATTTATTTTGTTTTTCAGATAAAAACAAAATGGATGTCTTTGGTATGATAACACGTTTACCGTCATTGGCTTTTGGTGCATCACGTTGTGATGATAGTTTTGCCGATCGACTATCATATAAATATACAGTTTTTATGCTTGCTCTTTTTGCTATTGTTGTCACAAATAAACAATTTGGTACTAAGCATATACAATGTAAGTGAGACGAGTCTAAGGAGAAATTTTGTTGATAAAATTTTTTAATTACAATAGGTTGGGTTCCTGCACAATTTACAAAAAATTATGAGGTAAGTAGTGATGACTGTTGGTATAATTTAAGTATAGAATTGAAGAAAATTTCTAAAGAACTCGATTAACAAGAGAATTTGATTCTAGTAGATCGACAATCTTAGAATGGGAAAAAAATCTTGGCTCAGGAAAATCACGAAGAATTATTTAAGTGATTGTCGAATGTTGGTCCATGTTATGTTTTTTTTTGTTAAAATTACTTTTCAATGAATAGAAATGTGCACAATGGATGTATGGAATTGTAAATATGGTGCTAAATCTTTTATAAACGATCGCTTGGATGATCATTCCTGACTGAGATTCTACGTGAGACAAAGTTATGATTTCCTTAATGATTTCTCGTTATTTGTGACTGAGATTTTCATCATAGACTAAGTAATATACTATGTGTCGATGGTATCAATATCAGTCGAAATCGCAGTAGTGGGAAAATTCTGATCAAAACAGTCAGGTTTTCCATTTATAAGGCATAGGGGATTTATCGAATAAGAAACATATTCTACAAAGATTATTATCTACAGTTCCGTATGCAGAAAACATGACACGTCTCAATAAATAGAATATTCTAACATTTCATTAATTGATTATACAGATGGATTGTTGATGATAATCAAAATCCTATAATAGTTTGCACATTTGATTCAAAGGAAAAGAAATCTGATGTGTATATATATATATATATATGCAAGTTAAATCAAATTTACATAATAAGTTTCAATGCATGCATTGTTATTATTTCTTTAAAGACTAACGAGGAAACCACTCACTGAATCTATATTGCAATTTGGTTCAGATATAGAAGATCAACAGATATTTTCTTGGCAAATCTTGATTTTCTAACAAAAGCATAATTTCAAATTTTGACCTGAAACTTTGTTAATATCTAGATGTCAACTAGGCTGGCTTACATATAAAATTTCATAATTTTTCAAAATATAGGCGTTTCTCTATAGATACTGTACGAGACAAAAATATTTTGCAAAATTCATATCTCAACAATGCTACGTCTAACAATTCTGAAATCTTAAATACAAGCTAGTCTAGCTGAATTCTTGATAGAAAATGTGAATCTGACAAAACTTTTCCATTAAAATCTTCATATCTGGAGCAAATTGCAACATGGGACCATATCCTTTTAGACTTTTTTCTATTCTACAGCTCTTCTACTTACTGGTCAAGTATAGGAGTAAAAGCGTTAAATCATATTAGAGAATTCCTTCGTTGATGCTATTAATAAAATTAAAATAAAATATTTCATTTTTTAAGGAATATGTCAACGATATATGTTGGGTATCAAATACATATTATATTCCTCTTGAACAAAAAGTACCAAAACTTGAGATTGAAAGACGTCAAAATGAATTACGTTATTATCAATGGATACCATTTATCTTACTTCTTCAAGCATTTTGTTTTTATTTTCCACATATTATTTGGCGTTCATTATCACGTCGTAGTGGTATTGATGTACGTGATATAGTTGATGCAGCTATTCATTATAAATCAGTTGATACAGCAACAAAAGATGATGAACATAAAAATGAATTAATGGAATATATTGTTGAAACAATTGATAAATATGTTGATGATCCACGACGACAAACTAATAAACGTAGTAAATGTATGAATTTAAAATATATATTAATGACAATATGTATTTGTATGGGAAAATATTTGGGTAATTATTTAATTGTTGTTTATTTTACAACAAAAGCATTATTTATAATCAATGCTGTATGTCAAATATTTTTATTAAATTTATTTTTGGGACAAAAATTTCATTTATTTGGAATACAAGTACTTAAACGAATTCTTCAAGGACAAGGTAAATAATATGAAAAAAAAAGGTTCTATTCTTTATTTTGTTTTATAAGGTTGGGATACACAATCAAAATATTTTCCAAAAGTAACATTATGTGATTTTCAAATAAGAGAAACTTTGCATCAAACTGATTCACATCGTTATACTGTACAATGTGTTCTTCCATTAAATTTATTTTCTCAACAAGTAAATATTATTGAAAATAATTTTTGGTTTTTTTTTTCATTATTTTGATTAAAAAATTCTTTATTTAGATTTTTACTTTTATTTGGTTTTGGTATATGATGGTTTTTATAGTTGTATGTTATAAATTTCATATATATACATTTTTTTCTCTATAAAATTTTGTTTCGTTTTTCTTTTATAGTCAATATTTGATGTTATTGTTTGGGTAATACGTTTTCTTCCTAATAAACAATATAATTATATAAAACGACGGTTACAATTAATGAGATGTGATAATGATTTTAATAGTCAATCACCTGAATATATTAAAAGATGGTATATGGAATTTATATATGGTTATCTTGAACCCGATGGTATATTTATGCTTCGTTTATTATCATCGAATACAAGTGATTTTGTTTGTACTGAAGTAAATTACGAGAAGTGTCTTTTTTTTCAGAAGGATAACTAAAAAAAAAAGTTTATTTTTAGGTTATTAATCAATTATGGCAATCATTTTATGCTAAAGATTTAAAACGATTAAAACATACATACAAACGTGACTTAGGTGGTGAACAAATTACATCAGAAATAAAACGTGAAATATCAGATTCTGTAGATTCATTGCAAGGTGATGATTCAATACGACGTCGAAATATAAATTTCTCATCAATTTCAACTCAAAAATCCTCAATAGATAAAACAGATAATGGTTACGAATCATTAACAACAGGCAAAAAATCTTCTTTTATACCTCTATTCGAAGATGATGTATAAAGTTATAATTTATATGCATTTATTAATCTCAGTCAATTTTGTTTTTTTTTTCGTACAATGCTAGTCAACATTTCTTATTTTATTTACAGTGATTATGATTTGATTTGACAGTTTTTTTTTTATGAAGAATATTTTTATCATAAAAAATCATTGAATGAAGACAAACTTCTTGTAATGTTGGAATGAGTAAAAACAAGGCGAAGATATTCATTCAATGGATAGTCGAAAGACAGTTGAATTAAGTGATAAAAGTACTTAACGTTTTTAAATAAATACAAAATTGACATAATGGTAATTTTTATCAAACATCTAAACTAAGATGTTTGCCTACATTCAGATGATATATATAATGCTTCTGTAAATTTGGTTTTTCAGAACATTTAAATGACATGCCTAACCGATGAAGTCCTACGTGACATTCATCTTGTATCCTGCCCTATGATAAATTAGGATACTATCATAGTAAAGTAGAGGATAGATAGTAGATGGACTAGAATTAAGGTATCTGAATATAATGGTCAACTTGGCGCTATATCACTAAGCTACAGTAAGACAAGAAGATGATGAAAACAATTGATTAAGAGAAAATCGATTAAGATTTGATGAATGAACTCATCTTAGAAAATAACGAATCTTTATATTAGTTTTTACTTTCAATTCATTATGAATTTGATTTAGGACGCAAAATATTTGTTTTTCTTTTGAATGGCAAATCGAAATTTTTTTTTTGTTTATCTTGTTTTTTTGTCATTAAACTGATCATCATTAAATTTTAGATATCATATTCACATCGTACATGTCATCCACTGAATATATTCGAAAGAAAAATCGTTTAAAAAAACAATGGTCATATATAGATGCTGCACTTAAAATTGTTCAATTAAATCAGCAATCTGAAAAACGAAAATATCTTTTAGAAGCAATTATGAAATCTGATTGTCAAACATTTGATAAATTATTAAATGATGATCCAATTTTAGTTGATTGTCCGATACCAGTTGGTTATAATCATTTTAATATTTATCAAATTATAGTCGAACGATCAACAGATACATTTATTGATAATGTATTTAATAAATATTTTCATATGATCGATAAGTCAACTGAAGGTGGAAAAATTCTTGTACCAGTGGCATGTGAAAGAGGTTAGATATGAATATAAACAATCACATAGATCACAATTGAATTTTGCTTTCATCTTATTTTAAAAAAGAAGCAAAAGAGTAGAATCATTAGAAAAGAAAAAGGAAATCGTTCGTCGACACTTTAGTCATATAAATAATAGATTTCTGATGATCCTTACGAAGAAAGTTCACCAAACTGATTAATTGCTTTTGATTCAGGACTATGTGCATCATATAGAGTCTAATTAGCGAAGAATACCCTGAAAAGAGTTTGCTCTCTTAGTCTATTATTGCAGTGATTTTGAATTTTTACAGTATTTTTTTAAGTCAATTTCGTGCTCTTCCGAAGGAATACTAGGAAGTTCAATTTTCAAATTGCAACTTGAAACTTTGTAGAGAGACAGAGTTGAATGCGAATAGTTAATCGCACAACTTTCAAGTAACATCGAATCTGCTGCTATATACGATTGATATAAAAGACATTTTTGTCACAACAATATCTTCGAATCGTAATTTGAAAAAATAAACTTCTGGGTGTTCTTTGAGCAGATCACGGCCTTTAGTTATCATTTACCATAAAAATGCTCAATTTCCGTAGCCATAAGATGTAAGGCTCCAAGCTTCTTTCAGGATATTCATAACTCATTAGAAACTACATAATGCATATAATCCTGACTTAAAAGCAATTAATAATCCGTTCGAGAACTTCCCTTCGTGAGTTTCAATATATATATATATATTAATTACATGTAAAACTTTTTTTTAAGGTGATGGTAACATTCTAAAATTAATTTTAAATTATTTTCCGTATGCATCACTTGATGGTATTAGTAGTTCAAATCAATCACATAGTTATTTATTACATGATGAACCACGTCATCTAATTCAACGTGAATTAGAAGCATATGAAAATGAAATACCATTAGCATGTATTATTCGTAATGATCGTTCTGATCTTCTATCAATTTTGTTTCAATTTAAATCTTTTACATTTGATTATTTAAGTCAACAACAAAAACAACATATTTTTAATCTTTGTTTATTAGCTGAACATCGTCAAGTTAGTATTGATAAATATAATATAAAATGGTTTAAAAATCAGTCATTACGCCCATGTGGTTCAATTGAATGCTTTCGTTTACTTATTGAATATGCTAATTTTAATCCGTTTTATATTTTTCATGATAATATATCAGTTATATCTCCATTTACACTTGTTCTTGAACCAATTTATCTTTATTTAATACAACTACATAATAAATTATTAATTGATTTACAAATTAAATTTCATACACGTTTATTACGTGCATTATATGATTTAATCAATAAACAAATGCAATTATTTACTTATCTTATAACACATTGTTGTATTGAACCAACTAAAACAGATTTTATTCGTTTAAATGAATGTGATCATTATATTGATGAAATATTTCATCAGACTAATGAATATCTATTAGTTAAACGTACAATGTTTAATATAAATAATATATTATTAAGAATAGATAAGAAAACTAATGATAAATGTTTATCATTAAAACAAATATGTCGATTTATTTTTCGTAATTATATACGAAATAAACAATGTGTACTTATACAAATTGAAAAAACATTTGTTAATTTAAGTTCTAGTCATAAAAAGTATTTAAAATATCTCTTATGAATTTTTTTTTCTTTTCAAATTATTTTTGTTATTGTTTTGTTTTTTGAAATAAAACTATTTTGTTAGATTATTGATTATGAAGAATATATTGATCTTTAATGATAAACAAAGTACAAGTTCAATAATAAAAACAGCAGATCTTCAAGGACATGCTGAAAAATCAAAAGACTAATTTTTCTTTTATCCTTTGAAAAATGTTCTCGCTACAATGTGTAAAGCCATTGTACTTTGTATGACTTAGCACATTTTATGATTAAGATATTCGTTTTATGAAATGTTCTTTCGTAATAGAGAATATAGACTTTTTTTATTAGCTGTTCTAAAATAGCAAAATGAAATAAAGGTTTAGTAGAAATATAATCAGTATAAAAAGACTTAGAACAATTATATCGTTGAGAGAAGTAAAAAATATAACATTTTTTAGAGAAATAATAGAAGATCCTCCTCTCCTAACTTGTGAACGATAGGACAGAATATAAGATCCAGAGTTTTCTTATGTGTCGATAGCTGTAGTGCATTGGTTCGTAATTATTTTTCTCTCGTAGTTCTGTCTTTTCAAATGATTTTATTCATCACACTTGAACTTTTTCTATCTGAACCAAAATATGACATGCAGTTTCATATAATCTCTTTAATTAGTAGAATGAAGAAAAAATAATACTTGAAATAATCAGATGAATTCAATCTATTCTGCAAAATTATATTCTAATAATAGAAACAATTCAAGGATACTATCTGATTCCATTGGTAATTCTCTATTGATTAGTGTAGAAGTTTTTTCATGTTCATGAATGCATCTCACTGATATAGGAAAATTAGCTGAAAACCATATAGAAACTATAAAATAACATTGATATTCACATTTCATTAGTTCCAACGGAGAAAAATAATTATTCCATGAGTTGCAATTAGACTTGGTCTTCTTACCAATTCTGTTCAAGCAACTACAAATGTCGACTATTTCTGCTTGATATATACACTATGGATTAGTGATGATTCAATAAATCCATATAATTTTATTAAAGATGATCGAATTCTACGAAATCTTCTATTTTGTATTCAACAGTGTATCAAAACCAATTTTGGTCCAGCTAGCTTTGAAATTATTATTAACGAATTCTTGAAAATACAAAGTACATTCTCACAACTGATTGTCTTTTAAGTTAGATTAATAAATAATCTCAAATGTTTGATTAATTTTCAAAGATCTGGTTTATTTTAAAGTTCCATCAATTAGGTGAGGTTAATAGAATTGAAAAAAACCAGGTCGCCTTGCCGAGGTAGTTTCTGGTATACAACAGAACTTAGATATTCTTGCGATGAAAATAACCATGTGTATTCCTAACATTTAAATGGAAACAAATAAGAAGATGTTTTGATTTTTATATTATCAATAGCGATGAAATTGAAAAATGAACAAAACTTTCATGATTTTTATAACACGAAAACAAAGATATTTCCAATGGTGAAGTGAACTTTAGAATTGAAATATTTCAATTTCATTAGTTAAAATGAACATTTTAATCAAGCAAATGAGAGGAAAATGATGCTTTTTATCAAAATCATGAAATTAAATTGATAAACATGTTTATTTTAATGAACGAATTTGGAAAACATCAACTTTTATATCCGTATCATCATTTGAATGCAATTTTCGTCAATGTTTTGAAGTCTCTAGTAAATCAGTCTTATATTTAAAATTCAAATCTAATGAAAAAAGCGAATAGATTCAGACTAGTTTACACAATTATCATTTCTTTTGTCATTTGTTCACCATATTTACACCTTTATTTTAATGATCGTGTATTAAATTTATCATCCCGCCTAATATTTGAAGATTCATCTATACATCATATTGCAATACTTTATTTCAACGATAAATATTGACACTCGTATAATTTCATGACTATTCGTATTTATTTTTGTAATTTTAACCTTACTCATGGGAATCAGACTATAAACATGTGACACTTACTGAATTCAATAATAATTTCACATTGGACTTTTTATAATTAAGCTTCACATAAAAACAAATTGTGAGTATAGCAACAACAAAAAAAAAGGCTACATTTAAAGATCGTTATTTAAGTACAATGTTTCATTTATAGATGATACCAACAACTTGTCTTTTCATCAAAAAAATATTTCTTATTCTATTATTAGATTTCTTTCATTACTAGTAATCATTCATGGAAATTTTCTCATATTATAGA